ATCCCTTTCCTCCTTCTTAGTTTGTGAACATTTTTAATAACTAGTGGGTGTTAAATTTTTGAAGATGCTTTTACTTCATTTACTGGTATTATTATATGGGCTTTCCCCCTTAATTTATTAATGTGGTTAATCATGTTAATTAATTTTTGAATATTAAACCAACCTTGCCTTGCTAGAATAAATCTTACTTGGTCCTAATCCTTTTTATAAATTACTGAATTTAACCTGCACATACATACACACATATATGTAATTTTCATCTCTATGCATGAGGGATATGAGTCTATGGTTATTTCTTGTATTTGTCTGGTTTCAGTATCAGAGTAATATTGTCCCTAAAAACAGAGTTTAGTAAATATTCTCTCCTTCTCTGCTTTCTTAAAAAATTTGTATTGGGTTGATATTATTTATTCCTCGTGTGTTTGATAGAATTCAACAGTAAAGCTATCTGATCCTGAGGTTTTTGTGAGATCGTTTTTAGATTTTGAATTTAATTTCTATAGTGCATACAGGACTATGCATATTTTCATTTCTTTTTGTGTCAATTTTAATATTTGTCTTTCAAGATATCTGTCCACTTTATTTAAGTTATCCAATTTATTGACATAAAGTTTTTCATGCTATTCTCTTATCCTTTAAAATGTTCTTTGGATCTATATGGCTGGACTTTTTCAATCCTAATATTGGTAATTAGTGTTTTCTCTTCTTAATAAGTGTAGCTAGAGAGTCAGCAATTTTCTTAATCATTTCAAGTAATTATCTCTGGTTTCACTTGATTTTTCTTTATTGTTCATTTGTTTCCAATTTCATTGTTCTGAACTCTAATTTTTACTTTGTGTTTAATTTGGTTTTCTTTTTCTAGGTTCTTTAAGAGAATGTAGATCATTGATTTTAGATGCTTCTTTTTTCATAACATAAACATTAAGCGCTACTTTAGTCGTTGCCCTACATTTTATGTTGCATTTTACTCATCATTCAGTTCAAATAATTTGTCTTTTGTGATTTGATTTCTTCTTTGACCTATGGACTGTTTAGAATTTCTTAATTTTCAGATGCTTGGGGCTTTTCTAGATGCACCGCTGCCTTTTATTTATATCTAATACTGCTGTGATCACAGAACATGTTTTTATTTTTATTCTTTTGAAATGTATCAGGGCTTGATTTATGACCTAGCATACAGTCTATCTTCGTAAATGTTCCATGTGTGCTTAAAAAGAGTGTTTATGCTGCAGTTGTTTGGTCTAGTGTATTATAAAAGTCAGCTGAAAGTTGATAGTGTGCAACCCTTTCACATCTTCACTGAGCTTTTTCTTATCTGAATGTTCTATAAGTTATGGAGGGAATTCTGTTAATGTCTCCAGCAATAATTACAGATATGCTTTTGCCCCCTTTAGTTGTGATATTTATTTTTCATATATTTCAAAATTCATTTATTGTTCACATAAACATTTGCAGTTGATATCTTTTATTTATTGTTATGAAGTATTTCTCTGTCTCTAGAAATATTCCTCATCTCATTGTCTACCTTTGTACCTGTTTAGTGAGGCTGCCAACATTTGGCTTCTATTGTTTATTACCTCTGTTAGGGAACAGGGGTCCCCAACCATTTTGACATCAGTGACTGGTTTTGTGGAAGACTGTTCTTCCATGGGCAGGTGGTGGGGGGAAGGTTTTGGGGTGATTCAAGCGCACTGCACTTATTGTGTACTCTATCTCTATTATTACCACATTGTAATGTGTAATGGAATAACAGTCATCATGAAGTTATGATTCTGATGTGCCTGCAAGCAACTGATCTGTGATGGTCTCTGTGCAGGCGAACCTCAGGTTCACGTCACCTGCCTTTGCATCACCGTCCCAGCTCCACCGCAGGCCATCGGGCATTAGCTTCTCGTTAGGCGCCGCCTAGATCCCTCGCGTGCACAGTTCACAGCAGGGATTGTGCGCCCGGGGTGGTAAAGCCAGTGACTTCTTTTCATCCAAGGAGATAAACTCTAAAAAGCCAGTGGGGCAGTCGCAGGCGAAGAGGGAGGGCGGGGCAATCGGGGCATGCCTGTTTTGGTGAAAATCTCTGTGTGGTGTGAACCGGCGAGTTCACAAATCTCTCACCGTGACAGGGGCAAACGTGCCGCGAGACGCTCCAGAAAGAGTCACGAAGTTCAGCGGGCTTCTCGCCACAACGCTGGCTGGCACACCGAGGGTGCCGCGTCCCTGCAGCACTCACCTAGCAGAGGGAGCCGCGTCCCTGCAGCTCTCACCGAGCAGAGGGTGCCGCGTCCCTGCAGCTCTCACCTAGCAGAGGGAGCCGCGTCCCTGCAGCTCTCACCTAGCAGAGGGAGCCGCGTCCCTGCAGCTCTCACCTAGCAGAGGGAGCCGCGTCCCTGCAGCTCTCACCTAGCAGAGGGAGCCGCGTCCCTGCAGCTCTCACCTAGCAGAGGGAGCCGCGTCCCTGCAGCTCTCACCGAGCAGAGGGAGCCGGGGCTACAGGCGCCGGCCCGCAAAAGAGAGTGCCGCACGGGGCTCCCCCGTCGGTGCTCCGCGCGTGGAATCCTTCCACCCATCTGCTGCCATGCCGTGTGACGGGCACTCGCGGGTGATTCGTTCTGCGCTTCAGCTTTCCGCCTCGTCTGGTCTCGACTGCCTGCCGGCCTCAGTCTTCAGAGATGCAAGTACCCGCCGCTCCGTGGGAGCCTGCTGCTGCCCGTGTTCCCCGCGCCCACGCCCCGGGCGCTCTCTGTCCCCAAGCCTGCGGGCCCGTCTCGGCCCAGACGCCTCGCAGCCTCGAGGACTCCGAGCCGCGCGAAGGCGGGGCCGGCCGCGCTCTCCCTCCGGCTCTCCCGGGCCGCAGCGGGGCTGCACTTCGCTCTGCTCGAAGAAGGGCCCCTCGTGCG